ATGATAAATAATATAACATTTCCTTCTAGGATAAGAAATGATTTCTAATTATTTTTGATGCTGGATTCAATAATGTTGATCCGTTCAACATTTACTATCGATATCAGAAAAAGTCTTTACACTACCTTTGCACGTGCTTGGTTCCGAATTTTCTTTGTTGTGAATGAATAAATATCCTTTATTTCTACCCTTTATCAAAGTACAAGCCGCTTTTAATTAAAACATTCCGAGTGATATATTTGGCTTTACAATCACTGTATCGATACATAGTGTTCGTGTATGTTTCTCAGCAAAAGATGGTTTTCGATCTCTTTGTGTTTCAGGTTAATGGGTTCTGCATGATTTATACCACAATATTTCCGTTTTAGAAAAATATAGACAAAATATGGCTGCAGAAACAACTCCTATTTCAATTACAGCGTTGTTTGTTTCATATAGACATATTTATACGGATTTGCGTTACGTTATATTGTGCACCATAAATACCAAAAAATAGTAATTAATTGCATAAGATATAGTGAATATTCAGTACAAGAGTAAGTCATGAATATTTATAAACTACGTATACTATCTACCTAGTTGACAGGAAATATATTATTTCACAATCAGAGCCGAACAGGTTTAGCGCATGCATTTAACCAAAATGGTATGAATCATCTGTAGCCAATTACATTAATAATACAAAGGTAGGGTCAACGCCTATGGTGATTTAATATATAGGAAGCTTAGACCAGGAACAGTTACTTTCAGAATTCATTTTATGATAAATGGGCCCCATAGACTTACACCAGTGTGGGTGTTAAAGGTGCGAAAAACAATTCCTCCTAGAGCATTTAATGACACTTTTGTTTATTTGTTTGTTTATGTTTAACGGCCCATCGACGGCTGTGGTCATTTAGGGCCATGGTGATTTATTTATTTATTTTACTTTTTTAACAAACATGTGAATAGCGAAGATAAAATCAGATAAAATGGTTCATTTTAAAAGTATTCGCATTGTATGTGTAGATAATAAAAAATAATTAAAGGGGGTTAAAGTAATAAAAGAGATAACGAATAGATGATATGGAATATGCGATATATATATAACGTCAAAAAGGATAAGGTGGGTTAAAAGACATCAGAGTCTATAAAATAGACCGATGTCTTTCAAATAGTTAAATAATGCCTTCGAATCCACGGAACTGAAAAGTGTTTTCATATCCGGGACTCGGAAGTAGTTATCACGAATGTGTTTAAAATCGGAACATTCTATTAAAAAATGCTCCACTGTAAATGGAGTGTCACATGCGTGGCATGAAGGTATATCTTCTCGTTTTAAAAGGTACGAATGAGTAGGATATGTGTGCCCAGTGCGGAGCCGAGCGAGGACAACTTCCTCTCTACGATCTTTCCGACTGGGAATAGATGTTTTAAGTTTCGGTTGTATCTTAAAAAGTTTGTTGTTGGTCTCCAGAGACCAGCGTTTCTGCCATTCATTTTGAATGGCTGTACGAATAGTAGGTTTAAAATCTGTGTATGGTAGTTTGATATTTGTTTGTTCGAGATTCAATGCATTTTTTGCTTCCCTGTCAGCAAATTCGTTGCCTTTTATTCCGACATGGCTCGGAATCCATAGTAAAGTTATTTTAGACTTTTTTAATATACGAGATATTCGAAGAGCAAGGTTTTGTACGATTGTGTTTTTAGGATCTCGTAACTGTAAACTCTGTAGGACAGATAGAGAGTCTGAACAAATAATTGCCTTTTTAATGCGGTGTTCATCGATATGGTCGAGGGCCAAACCAATGGCGCATGCTTCAGCAGAAAAGATGGAGGCGCCGTCTGGTAGTCGGACTGAAGTGCAAGTATTGGCAGTACAGCAGGCTGCTGCCACTTTCTCACCTTCTTTGGAGCCATCGGTGTAAAGTTGTGTATGAGAAGGGTAATTCGAAATGCATTCCCGAAAGGAGGATTTGTGTTCTTCGGGCATAACACTTGATTTCCCTCGCTCATGTAATGTAAAGTTAAAATCGGGGGTTTGAATGGTCCACGGAGGAACATCAGATATGTTAAATTCAGCTATGTCCGTCAATTTTATGTTGAGTTCTTGCAGGAAATTCAAAATTCGGATACCAAATGTTGGCAGAAGTTTTTGGTTTTGCGTAAATATGTTTTGGTATTTGGGGTTGAATACTTGGTTGAAAGCAGGATTTTTAGGGTTTGATTTTAATTGAGTTGCAAATTGTAATGAAAGTTTTATTCTTCTGTCATAAAGGGATGGTTCATTTGCTTCCACGTACAGGCTTTTTACAGGTGTTGTTCGAAAAGCTCCCAGGGCAAGACGTAGCCCTTGGTTATGGATTGGATCTAGCATCTGAAGGTACGAACTGCGCGCTGACCCGTATACCATAGAACCATAATCCAGTTTTGTTCGAATAAGTGATCTGTATAGGCGCAAAAGCATTTCACGATCCGCTCCCCAATCAGTATGAGAAAGGACTCGTATAATGTTTAACGCCTTGGAACACTTATCCTTCAGATACTTTATATGTGGTATGAAAGAGAGTTTCGAATCAAAAATGAGGCCGAGAAATTTAGTCTGTTCAACAACAGGAATTCTAGTGCCATCGAGTGTTAGATTTGGGTCATTGTGTGCTTTTCGTTTTTGACAGAAATGCATGCACACAGTTTTGGATTTAGAGAATTTGAAGCCGTTTTCGTCTGCCCAATTTTGTAGTTTGTTTAAACTCTGTTGAAGTTGTCGTTCTATCGTGTGCATGTTCTTAGATCTGTAACAGATCAAGAAGTCATCCACAAATAGCGACCCTTCTGTTGATTGACCAAGACATTTGACTATATCATTTATTTTAAGTCCAAACAGTGTGACTGATAGGATTCCACCCTGTGGGACTCCCATTTCCTGTTTAGACGTTTCAGAAAAAGTTGAACCAACACGGACTTTGAAGTGTCTATCTGATAGGTAATTAGATATAAAATTGGGAAGGTTTCCACGTACGCCAAGGTCGTGAAGATCTTTCATGATGCCATACTGCCATGTAGTATCATAGGCCTTCTCAAGATCGAAGAACACAGCGACAAGGTGTTCTTTCTTGGCGAAAGCCTCTCGAATGAACGTCTCTAATCTGATGAGATGGTCATTTGTCCCTCTTCTATTTCTAAAGCCACTTTGAAGAGGGGATATTATATCGTTGGCCTCAAGAAACCAAACCAGTCTAGTGTTTATCATTCGTTCCAAAGTTTTACATACACAACTAGTCAGAGAGATAGGACGATAGTTGTTTGGGTCAGTAGCATCCTTTCCCGGTTTTGGGATAGGTATAATTGTGGAGTTCTTCCACGAATCGGGAATCTTTCCGGAAGCGTAAACTTGGTTGAATATGTAAAGAAGGCATGTTAGTGAAGAGTCCGGTAAGTGCTTTAGAAATTGATATGGAATATCATCAGGACCTGAAGCAGTGTCCTGTGATTTTCTAAGCGAATCAACAAGTTCTGGTAGGGTAAATTGTTCATTATAACTTTCTTTGTTTGATGATTTGAAATTGAGCCGTTTCTTTTCTCTCTTTTTTTTCAAAGACTGGAATTTTTGGGAGTGGTTTAAAGGGGATGAGTTTTTAGCTATGTTTTTTGCAAATGCATCAGCAATTTCAGTTATAGACGAGAAAATTTTGTTTTTATTAATGAGGTGGGAGGATGTTGCCTTTTTCTTTTTCCCACTTATTTTCCGAATCATATCCCATACTTTTTTTGAGGACGTGTTTGATGATATCTTGGATACATATTCTCTCCAGCTGTTTCTTTTGTCAATTTTAATTGATCGCCGAGCCTTTGCCCGCCAAATTTTAAATTCACTGTAGTTTGAAGCAGTTGGGCAATTGAAGTAGCGTCTTAGAGCAGCTGCCCGATTACTGCGTGTTTTAAAAGATTCTTCAGATAAAAGGAACTTCGTAGGTTTTGGAGCGGATTTTGGAATTGTCTTTTGGGCAATAGAAGTGAGTGTTTCAGTAAAAGTTTTGATAGGGTCGTCGAGGTTAGTAAAATTGTCTATGGTTAGTTTTTCAATGCACATGTGTTGGAATTGGGCCCAATCTGCTTTGTGCATATTCCATCGAGGTAGAGGATCATCAAGAGGAGTCCCAATATTCTGAAGAAAAATTGGGAAGTGGTCACTCCCACAAAGATCATCATTTACCCTCCAGTCATAGTCAAGTAAAATGGATGGATGGCATAATGATAGATCAATGTGGGTACGAGAGCCTGTAGCAGGGTGTAAATAAGTAGGGGTATTGTTGTTAAAAAGGCACAAGTTGTTTTTATCTATAAATTCCTCAATACGTCTTCCTCTCTCGTCTGTGTTGGGAGAGCCCCACAGGCTATTATGACCATTAAAATCACCGAGGATTATGAATGGTGTTGGGAGCTGGGAGACGAGATTATTGAGTTGCTCACAAGTGAAAACAATACTCGGAGGGAGATAAATTGAACAGACGGTTATTTGTCTGTGTAATGTTGCACAGACAGCAACAGCCTGTAAATTTGTGTTTAACTTGATCATTCTGTGAGGAATATTTTTATGGACAGCTACCGCTGCGCCACCTGCTGCTCTGCTAACTACAGTTGGAATGTTCGTGTAGAGTGAGAAATTTCTAAGCGTAATTGGGTTTTTGAGCATGATTTCTTGAAGACAAAAAATGGCGGGTCTAAATTCTTTTGATAGATTCTGAAATTCTTCTATATTTGCCTTTAATCCGCGGAGGTTCCATTGGATAATTGTATTATTTATCTTTTGCTATTTTGGCTGGATTTCGATGGAGTCGAAGCACGAAGCGCTGAGGCATTCGTCTCCATCTCATCATCGAAATCTAGTAGGACATTGAACCGGTTTGTCGGGTCCTCTGATCCTTTGCCAAAGGTGACATTCAGATCCGGTCCTTCAGATTTGTCCCTCGCTATTTTAATTTTTTTCCTAGGTCTGTTGGTGGGTGGTGTTGCCTCTGGTCTCAGTTGGGATCGAGGAACAGATGTGAGTGAGCGAGATCGCTGCGAACGCACATGTGCCCTAGATGGGCGTACCTTTGGAGGGTTTTCTCCTGAGGAGGAAGGTGTTTTTGATGGTGGTGCTGGTTTTGATTGTGGTGCTGGTTTTGGTTGTGGTGCAGGTTTTGATGAAGATGCTGTTTTTGATGGTGATGCTGCTTTTGACTGTTTGCTGTTTTTGGTTGGTCCGTGCTCTCCACTATCCTCCTAGCCTCGGGGAAGGAGACATTTCGGGTAAATTTGACCCGCAATATCTCTCTCTCGCGATTCCAGGCAGGACAGTCTCGAGACGAAGCAGCATGCTTTCCCTCACAATTAACACAACGCAAGTTGGCAATATCACAGTCGCTTTGGTCCTCATGACCTTCACGACCACAGTACTGGCAAACGGTTTTCCGCCTATATCTTTTTTCATGATGCCCGTACTTCTGGCAGTTACGGCATCTTAATGGATTAGGGATGTAGACGGAGACACTGCACCTTTGGTAACCAATCACTACGGCCGAAGGTAGTGATGGGGTAGCAAAGGTCAGTACAAATGTGTCTGTTGGAACCAACTTGTTGTTCTTCTTGGACAAAATCCGTCGCACCTCAGAGACTGGGATCTCCTCCTCCTGGAAGTACTCCAGTATGGCGGCATCAGCGTCATTACGCAGGGCGGGGCATCTGATTACCCCCTTGCTGCTGTTTAGTGATGGATGTGCTTTCACTATAACACTGATACCTCCAAAACTGGTGGTACCCAGTAGGTTAATCGCCTGTTGTTTGCGAAAAACTTCGATTAGGAGATCGCCAGATCCCAAAGGTTTGACGGACTTTACGTCCCCAGCTATTCCTTTTATACCCTTCCTCAACAGAAGAGGAGACAATGTTGCTGCAGTTTTTCCACTAGTGGTTGACGACATGATGATGAATTGTGGGAATGTGGTAGTTGTAGGGTGTTTTTCTGTGTTTTTTTCATTACCCATGTATGTTTATTAATTAGTTCACTGTCTGTGTCCCCGCCCGCCCCGGAGCCCAACAAGGGGACACTAATATCAGCGCGGATATCCAGCGCCAAAGTGTCAGGGATACACAAAGTAGTATACTCGTAAAAGTATACATAACGAGTATATATATTACCCGGAAGAGCATACTCTCGCGATTGACCCTAAGCCACCGCCTTCTTGGAAGTATGTAAACCAAGGGCTCGGCGTGACCAGCCGATTGGTGATAGAGGGCCCATACCACCTCTCGACTTCCCAGAGTCCGAAGCCAAAGTAGCATGTTGCAGAAAGTCGGATCATGTCTCCCTCCAATCCAGAGTTCATCAGTGATTCCGACCCCTGCTCAACCACCAGGATCTTCTTCCCCCAGGAATACGAGACGCAACCCACGGCAAACAGGTTGGCTCAAATTGGAGCTACTGTGAAAGCCTTCTGCTACGTTGACGCCCAGCGCGCGACAATCACACCCCCGAAATGATCACATACGCACTGAACACCAATGTACCCAGCCTCGGGACGTGGACCCAGCTTTCTTGGAGACCTTAAATGACACAATTACTATAAAAAAAAATATCATCATCGCGTGCAACATAAAGTTAAACAGTTATTTTGATACCGAATATTACATTATAACAAGAAATATTTATTCTTTTTATTGAAGATTAAAGTAGAAAAATATGTGAAATTTTATTACTAATGAGAAAATTTTCCATTTTCGACACGTTAATTTACATAGTTCTAAAACGAGTCTATATCTCATATTTGCATAAAAGTTGACTACCAATAATATCCTTCAACATCAGGAATTTCAAAAAAATCACAACCGGTAAATTTGTCATATAACATTTTTGATTCAAAAAAAGAAAAACATAGCTTTCTTTCCACTTTTCCCTTAACTTGTGTGTTTCTTCATGACCAAAGGTCCTTGGGTCTTGATATTTAGCAAGTAGGTTTTTCATGTGAATGGATTTAAGTTTTGTAAACGTTGATGACATTGACCTTCGTTCATGGTCACACAAATCAAATGTAATAAAATAAAAAATGTGTATGGAGAGGCAGACAAGGATATCTTTCCTTGCTTTATTTGTTCCAAGTTAACGACATAAAATAATATTCCTTCATATCTGGTTTAATGAATGGGCAATAGGCAAAATGAAATGATAACTAGAACTGTAAGCCAAAGGTAAAATAATACCCTCACTCCTATATAAACCAGAACTGTAAGCTAAAGGCTAACTTAGGCACAGCATTGCAAAGCAATCCGTAGTCTCCCACCAGTAATTATTTAAGTATATAGGTCACTGACATACTTCCTGTACTATTCACCCATGCCACAACATACTTGCATCTCAAATCTTGTTAGCCCAAATGAACCAGTTTTGCAGAAATAGTCCAAGTAGATAAGGAAGAGATGTCAGGACAAACTTTTTTTAACAAAATGCAATAACTCCTTAAAAAGGGAGGAAAGGAAAAAAATCTACCCTGATGAACGACATCGGCCCAGTAGTTTATGAGGTAGACAAAGGCTTTTTTCAACAAAGGGCCATAACTCCTTTTTAAAGGGTCGAAATAAAACATACTACGTGCATGCACAATGCCAGGGAAAAGTTATCATATCTGAAAAATTTCGTTGAAATTCTCCCTTTGGTTTTGGAGAATATCTCCAGACAAGGATTGTTCAACAAAGGCCCATGACTTTGTTAAATAAAGGGTCAGAATGAACAAATAATAATATATGGATGCCCAACTTTAGCTGGCAGTTATCATATCTGGAAACTTTCGTTGAAATTTGTCCATTGCTTTAGAAGGAGTTGTCCGGACAAACTTTTCTACGGACAGACAAGCTGATTCCAGTAATCCTTCCTAACTTCGTTGCGGGGGGTATAATAAAGTACATAATAGTTTTACTAAGCAAAGCCTTAAAAGAGCTTAGCTTTTGTTGATCTCTGATATTTACTGATTAAGAATACAACTTTCAGAATGAGATAAGATAAACTTTATTTAAAGTCGGCTAGTCGAGGAATAACAATAAAACACAAGCTCTAATGAGATTAAGACCGACATAACAATAGGGAGACCGGGGCAAATCCGGCCCTTTTTATTGTTTCTGTATTAAAGTCCATTCTAGGAAGTATGGCAGTACGTCCGTTTTGAACATTATTTAACCATCCTGTCGGAGGATCGGATGGCCGAACGAGCCCCGCCATGAGGTTACTTCGGAAAGGCATTCGGGTAAGTTCGGCCCCCATTGGAATCAGCTTAAATATGATTTCATAAAGCATGCAACGTCAGATTTTACCGCCAATTTTACGACTTTTTATGTGTTACATGGGCCGAACTTGCCACGGTATCATTGGCGGAAACTCTCCGGGCCCAAATTGATATTTCAATCAATTCTTATCGTACAGCAATATGGTAGTGAGTGATTGGTTTGGCTTTCATATATTATCGTTTGAAGTTGTCAGTGTGTTACACGTTTGACTGTAAAAAAGTAGCAATTCCGTTTCAAAAAGTTCGCATAACTAGAAGCGAGTTCTTTCTGCCCTCTCAAAAGTAATTTTCTCCTGTTTAGTAATTTTACATTAGAGTTTTCCTCGCCATTTGTTCGTGTGAATTCCCTGCCAACTAAACTGCTAAGATCCTTAAAGTTGTAAATATTAGCTCAAAACAAAAATATCAGGGATGGCCGAACTTGCCTCGGTCTCCCGTATGTAATTTATATCATTGATGATTGGTAAAAATGTATTCACAATATAATGTTTCCATCAATGACGCCATTTTCTTCCAGTCAAAGCTAGAGTATATATTTGTTCTTGTGCGTAAAGTATGTGATGGGTCGGTGGCGCGTTGGATAGCGCGCTCGTCTTCACCAAGATGACCGGATTCAATACCGGTCACCTGCCCGTAAATGTAAATGTATAGAGATGTTAGTTAAAAAAATGAAACTAAAAAAGAAAACATTGAAATACTTTGACGTAACTGAAATTGTCTTGATATGGATATGTAGTCTCAATTACTGTTCTATCCTGGAACACCGGATCGAATTTCAAATTTTGTAATTGTCACCGAGGTCTGACAGGTAATGATGCCAAATTAAAATACAGTTTTTGTCTGTAACTAGTTATAAATCGGCACGCGTTGTGAAAAAGTAATACGTTGCTGAAAAAGAGCGTAGCACTTGGGTTGATTGTCTGGAAAATTATTGTTAAATTCGTCAAAAATGCATTTTCCATTGGTTCTTTTATGAGTGGTGATGCATAAATAATGTAAAGACTATATACAGACTTTCAAAAATGTCAATTATTTCGTTCATATTCTCAACAAATGGAAATTTAAAGCGGATGAAATTTTAAATGATCTCTTTTTTGAAGATATCTCCCGGTAGAATTATCAACAGAACCGGGTTCAGAAAATATCAGAATTTTTACTTTTTGTGCATGTGGAAAAAACTGAAATAAAAAAAAAAGTCTTGAAGCACCGTCAAAGAGATAAATGCAACGGACATCAGTTCCAGAATTTTCCGGTTATTTTTCATCCTTCCGGAAATAACCGTTGAAGGCCGATGGATTGTGACGTGCTTGTGACGTCATAGTATGATAATCTATGAACGAAGTTTCATGCCTGTTAGAATGTAGAATATGCTGCACTTGATTCTTGCAATGGATTCAAGAGGTGCAAATTGAAATACTTATATAGAGTCTAATGAACCTTTCGCATTCTCACATTAATGTCATGTCATCATACGCCTAGGCGGAAAACTTCAAGATATCAAACATCTTGTCAGCCAAAAAGAAATCAAGAAAGGAAACTTAACTGTAATATACACTGTATAGCTATACATGTAGGTCTGATTTAGTAATTTAACACATCACTCAATGCTTGAAAGAGTACAGTACCGATATTCCGATACATTTACAGTACAACCTGGCTCCGCCCTCACTAACGGCCATGCCGTAAAACATATTAAGAGCGTAGCTCTCGGGCGCCAAAGGCCAAAGGCGCCCTAGCGAAACTCTTTAATGGTAACACATGCGTGAGTATACAGAGTTGCTTCCCCTTTCTACACGTTGCCTTTTTTATTTCCGTCCGGAAGTAGACGTCCAGTGGGAACACAGGAAGTGTATCCTTGAAGCAAAGACAATTGTGTTTTATTTATATAAAAAAAAGTATCACATAAAATGTGATACTTTTTTTTATATAAATAAACAAGTAATAAAACATGAAGATTATGTTATCTATATGAAGATATTCATGTATGGGTTGAAACACAGTTGTCTTTGCTTCAAGGATACACTTCCTGTGTTCCCACTGGACGTCTACTTCCGGACGGAAATAAATAAAGGCAACGTGTAGAAAGGGGAAGCAACTCTGTATACTCACGCATGTGTTACCATTAAAGAGCTTCGCTCGGGCGCCTTTGGCCTTTGGCGCCCGAGAGCTACGCTCTTAATATGTTTTACGGCACGGCCGTTAGTGAGGGCGGAGCCAGGTTGTACTGTAAATGTATCGGAATATCGGTACTGTACTCTTTCAAGCATTGAGTGATGTGTTAAATTACTAAATCAGACCTACATGTATAGCTATACAGTGTATATTACAGTTAAGTTTCCTTTCTTGATTTCTTTTTGGCTGACAAGATGTTTGATATCTTGAAGTTTTCCGCCTAGGCGTATGATGACATGACATTAATGTGAGAATGCGAAAGGTTCATTAGACT